TAACGGACTGACATGACTGCTTACACACACAAGGTTTTATTATCATAATTATAAACCGCTGAACTACAAAGAATGTTCAGGTAAAAACAATAAATCCTTTTAATGGATTAGCAATATAACCCTATTGAAATCTAACATCTTCTAATGGAAACCGTTTATAGAGCGACAGTAAACGACTATTTCGTATTATGAATGACTATTTACAAAATAGCCCCTTATTAAATATGATGTGCCTATTTCTGAAACACTATTACTTCTTTGATTCACCGTCAAAGTCGCTTCATTAATCGATCGTCTACGTGATTTACACATGTCGTAATCAGTATTTTATTATGATGATTCAGTGATATGTTGATTTGTTTTCCAATTAACATACCATGTTTTAAGAAAAAAACTTATGCACACACTTTGGTGATAATTTGTTTATTAATTGGGTATGAAACATTTGTCTATCGACCTCACTCAGTAATCACAATTATCAAATATTCAAACCGGTTCTCAGTTCTTTTTTCAAAAACTTTCTTTTAATGAGATACATTTAATTAATTCTGTCAAGATAATTAACGATTTCAATTCAAGTTTTACTTGATCAGAAAGCAAAAATTTATCCCAATCCACATTCACTAACAGTAGGATTGCATGGTCATGCAATTAAGTTGGTGTCCTTTTTCTTGAAAAGTCTAAATATTTTTCAAGACTAAGATTACATAAGAAAAATTATTCATCATCATCTAATTTCAAATGTAAAAATGCAAATTATGGGTTGACATTAAGCCCACGGCAATTATGATTCCCTACTGCCCATTTGTAAAAAATTGAAGGGTGTGAAAGAAAAATTTAGCGATCGGTGATTGGTGTACTTGTTTTGCAAGTGTGTGCTCAAGTGATAATGAACAAACATTTTGTGTTACCTTTAATGATTTTGTTATTGGTCGTAAACTATTCATACTTGTAATCTGATTATTTGAAATTGAAATCGCGTCTACAACTGTGATTGGATGTCAGAATTTTCATTTTTTACATTTGAAATTTAATGATAATGAATAATTTTTCCTCTGTAATCTTAGTCTTGGAAAAAATTTAGATTTTTGAAGAAAAAGACACCAACTTAAGTGCAATCCTACTCTTAGTGAATGTGTATTGGGATACGTTTTTGATTTCCGATCAAGTGGTTTAATGTGAACCTTCAATTGAAGTTGTTAGTTATGTTGTCACGAATACTTATATGTATCACATAAGAAGCAAGTTTTGGAAGAAAGGAACAGAAAACCGGTTTGACTATTTGATAATAGTGATTACTGAATATTAGGTCGGTAGTCAAATGTTGAATAGCCAATGAATAAACAAATTATTACCGAAGTGTGTGTATACGTTTTTTAGTAACACATTGTCTGTTAATCGGAGAAATAAATCAATATATCAATAAATCATCATGATAAATTACTGGTTGCAATATGTATAATTCAGGTCAAGCAACCGAAGACCATGATTTAATGAACCGACTTTGACAGTACATGAAAGTAGTAATAAATTTTCCGCAATAGGCACTGAATATTCAGTAAATGGTTATTTTGTAAATGGTCATTCATAATTAGAATTAGAGAAAGGTTAGATTTCAATTCGGTTAATTTTAAAAGTCCATTGAGACGGTTTATTGTTTTCACTTGTGATTTATTTGTAGTTCTGTATTTTTTGGTCGTAATAAAAACTAGTGTGTGTTTAATCAGTCATGTGTGAATATTGTTAACCGCCGTAATATGAAACCTGAACTATGTCTAGACATTATGAATGTCTACATTTTTGACAAGCATTTGAAATATCAGTTTCATCAAGTGTAAATGAACAAGCCTACGTCGTCTGACTGACTCAACAAATATCTATCGACATTAAACGTATAAATGTGAATAAGGTCAACTGCATCAATCAACATTTGCAATTTGTTATTATTATTTATTGTCCTTATGATCATTATTATTATTATTATGTCAATTGACAAGATTCAATTCTCAGACTATGCATTTCATTGACACAAAATTTTTTTGCAATTTCAATTTTCCTATATTGCTTAGTCACTTATTGTGACTGAACACTTTACTGCAAATAATCCCGACGTTTATTGAATGACCCTTATAATTTGAAAATATTACAATTCGTAAGTATATATATAAATATCTATATCGTAACAGATGTAAACGTTCACCATTGTTAACACATTACATTGTCAAATTCATTAATGCCATGCCTTATTTTTGACCTTTATAAAATATTAAAATTATGGATTTATAACTGTATAGTATGATTGTACCAGTAATTAATAGTTATATATGGGTGTGCAAATGAATACGGTGATATAATCAGTAATTATGAATAACAATGAAGGCTTAGTTGACGATCGGACGTACTTCATACGTACCCATAGTTCTGGTTTCAGAAACTTTTAATATAAAACAAGAATATGAAACTCTTGCATTTTGTATTCATGAAACGGATAATATTCTTATTTCTTTTTACACTTACTATATGACCTTTAATTGCATGAATCATTTCAATGATGATGATGGTTTCAACTTGTTTTCTAATGTCATTATTTTATTCCTAAATAAGTCAATTTTCTTCATTGTGTTTACTTCTCTATAAGCTTTATTCACATTCATCTTTCTAATCATCTTATTATATTCACTTATCAATGTAATTCTAAATTTAGTGACCTAACGATAAAATGACGATTTTCACTATTTTAAAATATTCCTATTAAAATGTACTCAAAATGTACTAGTATTAGATAGTTTACCAATGTGTTACTAAGACATGAACAGTAATCACATTATTTTAAATCTAAAATTATTAGATCAGTGTTCATCAAATGACAAAATCTTGTCTGTTTTCTTAACCTTTATATCTAATATACATTAGAAACAAGTTTACGAATACATGAATGATAATCGCTTTTCGTTTATTAATACCTTTGCCATAGACAAAAACAATATTGGGAAAAGTGAATTCAAATCAATTTGTGGGTGGCCCTGATAAGGGCCTTTAGTCGTTCTCGCGGTCGTACGTCGTAATTATTAGTTGGTAATGGCGCCACACATCGGACAGTGGACTGCTCGCACGTTCGGTGATGGGTCATAAGAACAGTTCTCATCGTCTAATTCGTATTCGCATAGCCCACCCAAAGATGTTATGTGCGCTTTCAATTTTCCGTAATCACCTATCGTTTACATTATAAACTGGCAAATGGCTTACCAGGAATGTTCGCCAGTGAGAACACTTTGTACCGCATATTATAGATATCTTGATCATTCAGTAGTTTCCCATAAGAATGCTAAGCATAATTCCTAATGTGGAATGAAGCAGTACCAGATATTAGCAGCGGTCGCACAGTTTCAAACTCGGCCTCCGTTAACCTGCGCACCCATGAATTACTTTGGTACCTCAGGGAGTTGCACTCGTGATTGTGATGCACATTCCCACTTACAACAGTCCAGTAGCCGTCGATAATCTTACAATACATGAAGGCCGGACATTGAGTGTTCATGGAGGCCCTTCATAACAAAAAATGTTAATAACATTAATAAAATTACCTCCTCCGTCTGATCCGCTGTGACGAACCGCTAGATGTTATACGGCCATGTCTCCAGCACACAAATTTAATATACGAGTTTTCATCTCTACACAAATGCGAATCTCGAACTACATAATGACAGTAAGTTGATCTTTCATAATTTGTGATAGCGGACTTCAACGCTTCAACCGATGGGAACGCAACGAGAAACAAGGTTGTCAAAAAGACTTTCTCCATTTCTGTTACGTGAGAAACAACAGCGCTTGCACTCGGCACGTTACTCTCCTCCATAATGATGATTAAAATGTACTTCGTCGACAAGTACTGATGTTTTATAAAAATCCGACAAAACATAACTAACCAATTAAAACGAACTTTAAGACTGCCCATTTCATTGGAAGAAACGGGATGAAAAATATTGTGATTTTGGGGTTGAAAAACAAATTTTAAAAAGGGTGGTGGGGGGGTAAAAAAACATTGCTGTGCGGATAATGAATTTCGTTTCACACTATTTCAATGTAAAAAAATTCTATCACAATTTTAGGTTTGTAAGCAGCTGCCAGAAACCTCGAAATATTATGAATTCATACTATTCTGTATCAATATTTGTTCTTGCTCTATATAATTTTGATTGGACTACCACAGTCACCAGTTAATACATAATCATATGTTTATGTGCTTAATTGAAGTGTTTATTTATTCAAAACTGTTATTACTTATGATTTTATGCCCTTGGTCCTTTGTTTTCCACCCCGTCGCCAATTGTTGTAACTTCTGCCCTGTGTCCTATTAATGTATGATATAACGATACTACAAATTAGAGAACAGTGATTGATCGATGGAACCAATAACGCATGAAAACCCGTACAAGAAGTCTTTACTGGTCCTGCTTCCTGCCTAGCTCTGCCTGTTAGAGTCCAGAACACCAATCACAGTTTTTGCAATACGACTCATTCATTTCAAACCTACGAAGTTTATATACCAACGAAACAGATCACATCGTAGCATAGAAGATAACATTTGTACAAGATCTAGTCAAAAGTGGAAGTAGACTGGGTATAACTGAAGAATGGTAAATCGTATAATAATAGTTCATAGGTCAAAATGAAGCTTATGATAAGGGGAACATGAATATGAATAGTTTAGTTACTTAACAATTATACAATACAAAATATACGTATAGTATTAGTTCAGAAATGGATCCCAAAGGTTACCACTCATTATTCTCATCAGAATCTAACTAAAACGATGTTGACTTGTATATATTATGACATTGTGAATGTCTTCTATCTACTTCAATTCAATCATTTGTAAGCATATACATAATTCTTATTGGTTTTGCATTAAATTTACAAGAATATTTGAGTAGTATAGTAAATTCAACTTTGAATGATAATTTAAATGAATAACTATACATGTATTGTATATATTGTAGCCTAATGCTGGATGGAAAGCTCAAAGAACTAATCGATTTAGTACAATTGAAGATGCTAAATTAATGATGGGTGTTATATTTGAAGATAATAATCAAAGAATAAAATTACGTCCAACAATTAGACATAATGATGTTAATATTAAATTACCAAAATTCTTTGATTCACGTAAACATTGGAAGAATTGTCCAAGTATTCGAACAATACGTGATCAATCTTCATGTGGTTCATGTTGGGTAATAGATGATTTGTTATATTTTACAAAATAATATATATATATATATATATCGCTTGTTGTTGTTTAACATGATCAGTCTCCTTGTTAGCACATGTAAATTCTGTGCAGATTGTCTCGATATAGCCCTAAGTCACAAGGTTTTCTAAGCAAAGATGGATAGCAGGTAGAAGTGGAATCCAGTTTTACGTATGTATCGGCAATAGGGTGAAGTTTTGCATTCACTTGATGTTGTTTAATTGTATCTTCTGACTGTTATTTAGGACTGTAATTGATCAGTAGTCTCTTGTTGGCATATGTGAATTCTGTGTGTACTGCCTTGGTATAGCTTTAAGTCACAAGCTTTTTTAAGTAAAGATGGATAGTGAGTAGAAGTGGAATTCAGTTTTACGAGCGTTTCGTTCTATTTCGGACTCATTATATAAATATCGTTTCTATTTCACCTTATTATAGAATCATGTCGTTTAATGATGTTATATACACTTTAATCATATCAGTTTCTTTTCATAGTTTAACTGCCTAGTAACTGATAAATAGTATCTTTTTATAGATACTCCTAGTTTAATATAAACCTCTCTAAGTTACTGTCTACGACTTGGTGGTGTAGAAGAGATGTAATATGACTAGAAGCAGAATCCAGGATGCATATGTTTTACTTGATGGGTCTCATCATTTAGATATTCCTAGGATGCAGGTACATCGACCTATAACCATTTTGTTGAAATTATATATAAATTTGCAAATCATTTGCTATTCACATTTCTTTCTTCCAGTTCATATCGTCCCATGATATATTCATAGTCAGTGTTGTCCATTCCGACCATGGGATTTCGATGTTCTATCAAGATAGTCCGGTTCCTTACCTGAACACTTCTGTACAATTGACTGAGGCCTCTGAACTTTATCATTTTTATCTCTATCATCGATGGATGTATAGTACTAGATAAAATTCAATGTGATTCCTTCATTCTTTGTTTTGAAGGATGCTTTGAGAATTCCAGATCGATAGGATTTCCATCCTATGGGTGCTTTTCATGCTTTTTTGGACAGCATTACAGGAAATTCCTGCGTGTGTGAAGCATTTTTTTCCTTCATGACCAGAATACAATAGCATCTCTCTTGGATCTAATCTTTTCTTTTCAGCATGAGCCTAAAGAAAGGAAATTTGAGAAAGTATGAGGACTTTAGGCATCACACTACTGTTAGTACCAAGAAAAGTTGTAAACAGAGTGTTATTGAATCAGATGAAAGATTAAGTAGACGCCCAACTTCGAGGGGAACAGGCTAGATCCCTCAACGACCGCTCATTCACAGATCGCGACGCGACACTTTAAATCACTGCTGAACAATCAATTGAATTTAATTCGTCATTATAAATCAACTTCCTTGACCATGAGAAAGCGTTTGATAGCGTGGATAAAAAAATTATGGTGTACCTGAAAAAATCGTCAACATCATATGGAATAAACTGTGATATTAGGCATGAAGGACAACTGATAGATGCATTCCAAGTAAACACCGTCGTTAGACAGGACTGTTTACTCTCGCCTTTTTTGAATTACTTAGAAAACGTCTCATCCATATCAACAAATGCAGGTGAAAACAGACAGTACAACAGTAGCCTTTGTATCAGTAGGCCTCATAATACACAACGGAAAAACAAGATCTCGAAATACAACATAGAAAGAATAAGCTAAATCATACTTAAAGTAGAATCTCTGGAAGATGGGAAAAGTTATGCGCACCTCGGCAGCATCACCAATAAACAAGTAAGATCTGAGGTCGATGTAAAGGCGTGGGTTGGCAAACTAAGGATAGCATTCCTACAGTTGAAGAACATATGGAATTCGAAACGACTGTCAATCAATATGAGAGTCAGAATCCACAGTACGAACGTCAAGACAGTTCTACTGTACGGAGCTGAAACTTAGAGAACTACTACAACCATCATCAAGAAGGTACAAATAGTTGTAAATAGCTGTCTACGCAAGATATTCAACATCCATTGACCGGATACCATCAGCAACAGCCTTCTGTGGGAGAGAACAAACCAGCTTCCATGTGAAGGGGAAATTAAGAAAAGACGATGGAAATGGATAGGGCATACATTATAGAAATCACGAGACAAGCGCTAACTTGGAATTCTGAGGGGAAGAGGAAAAGAAGAAGGTCAAGGAACATATTATGTAGGGAAATAGAAGCAAATGTGAAAAGAATGAATAACAAGTGGAAAGAGCTGGAGCCGAGGACAGGGTTTGATGGAGAGTGATGGTGAGTGGCCTATGCTCCTCCACGAAGTAAGTAAGTATGAGAAGGTGAGAATTTACAAAAAAATAACATTAAGATGAAACTCTTGCCAAATACTCTTTGATTTACAGTTATACTTCAAATGATGTTCCAATTCTGTTGGATTGTGTAACCGTTTTTTTTCTGTCTTAAAATGATGTAGGCTTTTGGAGCTGTTGAATCAATGAGTGATCGTATCTGTATTCATTCTAAAAGTAAAATCTCTGTAGAATTAAGTGCTGTTAATCTATTAAGCTGTTGTACAAGATGTGGTCTTGGTTGTAATGGTGGTATTCCAGGAATGGCATGGGATTATTGGAAATATGAAGGTATTGTTACAGGAGGATCAAATGAAACACATACAGGATGTCAACCATATCCATTCCTTAAATGTAATCATCATGCAAGTACAAAAGGTTATCCACTATGTGAAAGTCATTATTATGCAACACCAGAATGTTATAAAACTTGTCAAGATGATTATCGTAAACCCTATAAAAAAGATAAATTTTATGGTTAGTATTAATAAAAACATTGTTTAGATTTGTATATTTTGTAGTAGTGAATATGTTTATATAGGTTAAATGTTCTCATGGGAAGAAGGTCTTAGGTTTGTGTCCCGCGCGTGCGAGAGAGAGTGTGTGCTCAATGCTGAGGAGTCTCATGCTAGGACGAAACGGACATTCAGTGCTTCTAGATATTCAACAGTGGTTTAAGATTGATCGATTTGTGATTTCAATAAAATCCCGAAAAAAGTGAAGACAATATCTATGGAAGAGTAATATGAATTCATTTATTTCAGAGATTCAACATGTTTATTAAGAAGCCTTGATCTGGATGGTGAACTTTTTCAAGGTAGATTAGATGTTAAAAAAGAAACTGCTGTAGATAAATTACAGTAATCGGTTGGTTGCTTATAGGGTTAATGTGTAAAATTTGTGAGAATGATATTATTAAGAAGGACAGACAGTCTATTTTATGCGTGATATTTAATTTATCTATCGTACTAATGGGATGTTGAAGACAATTCTCAAACAGTTACAAGTCGAGATATCTGTTCACCAATTAAGGAACAAGAATACTGCGCAGCAGTTCATTCTGTTCTACTTTACGATGCGAGACGTAGCCATTAAGAGTGAAAGGTACTCGTAAGCTACTACTATGTGACCACAGATGCCTTAGAAATATTGGTCGCATCTGCTGGGATTACTGAGTAAGTAATAGTGAGGTTAGACACATGGTATTGGGAAATGTTAGTAAATGAGGTTATAAATCCTCATCGACTGAGATGGTTGAGCCACGTGTTACGTATGCCTGAACACCGATTACCACGACACGCAATGCTGACTAGTGTTGGAGATGTTTGGAAGAAAGTTAGAGGTGGCCAAACCAAAACATGACATCAGTCCATAAAGTCACTATCTTCTAGACTGAGACATATTAGTAGATGCAGACTACTCGGTTGGGATCCGCACGACTATCGTAGCCAATGTTTAGAGACTGTATGTGACATGGCTCAGAATCAATCACAATGGCGTAGGTATATACACCCTTTGTTTTCCCTTCAACTGTGAAGATAAAATTACTTTATAACTTTCTTTCTCCGAACTCATTCGTTCTCCCTGTATCATCTTGTTGTACTAATGAGTTGTGGCAACATGGACCGATGCATATATGTGCCTGGTCCTACATTGTAGCTGATTGACTGAGTTATAAAGAATTATATCTAGAAAGATGACATAAGTCGTCAAATGAGATTACTTACTTTAAATCCAGGTCTTACAAATCACTGATAGTTTTTCAACACAAGCTGATAGTAAGTGTGGTCATGAAGACAATATAGTTCAGTTTCAACCAGAATGGATGAAAACGTGTATGACTGTGACAACTATTTGTGTTGGTCCAAAATCTATCTTCAAGTTGTTTAGATCAGTAATAACATGACATGTTGTTCAACAGAAATCAATCAGCTTGAAAAACAGTGTGATCAAACAAATATAGACAGTATTCCATAAAAATTTTTTTATTGACGTTAAAAGTATCAATAAAATATAGAAGGATAACTATCCATCTTTGACGATATACTCAGATATGTGGTTACTACAACTACAACAACAACTACTACTAATATTGTTGTGAATGAGAACAGACAAATGAGGACAATCGAATGAACTTTACTATTAAATTACTATAATGTCCACGAAAACCTTATCTGATTGTGCCCTTAATCATCATCATCTCGCTAGTGACGTTCTCCAAGAGGTATTTCCTGGAGTTCTAATGAGAAGCCGTGATCAGTGGAGTTCAATCGGGTCTATTGTGAGATAGTAACTCACTGATGACAATAGTGGACGGTGGCGCAATTTCGTGGATTGGTTGAAGCTAGACATTAGCAACGTTGAATACCGACCTAGCGGTATAAGTTCGAATCCCGCGAATGGGATCGTGGATGCGCACTGCTGATGAATCCCATGCCAAGACGAAACGGCCGTCCAATTCTTCCAGGTTTTCAATGGTCTAGTCTAGCTTCAATTAACTCATGAATTCGACGATTAAATTACTATAATTTCCACAAAACCCCTATCTGATTACAATCGAATGTATTTGAACACACATAATTACAGAACATCTTAGTCAAATCTGAAAACCGTACAGCAAAATTCCTCATTTGTAAAATGTCAATCAATTGTCTTAGACTTGATTGTCTTTTCATTTCCACACTAATTATCCTTTGTTATGGTCTTCTTTTCTTTGATCATCTTAACCTTATGCCTTTAATCATTTCATTCTCCATTGATGATGATGCATACTACTTATATATGTTGATATCAGTAGTACACACCACCGTTCAATTTATATTTGTTTTTCTTTTCTCTTCATTTTCAAAAGGTAAAACTTCTTATAATGTAGCCAGTGAAGAAATTTCAATCATGAAAGAGATTTTATTAAATGGTCCAGTTGAAGGTGGATTCTATGTCTATGAAGATTTTCTTCATTATAAATCTGGTGTTTATAAACATATCACTGGTTCATATTTAGGTGGTCATGCTATACGTATACTTGGTTGGGGTATTGAACATAATCACATACCCTATTGGTTATGTGCTAATTCATGGAATGATCAATGGGGTGATCATGGTTATTTTAAAATTTTACGTGGTAAAAATGAATGTGGCATTGAATCAATTATAGCAGGTGGTTTACCAAAGTTACATCAATAATTTATATCTACCTAATTCATTTAGATAAACAAATGAATGAGATCATATTATGGATTGATATTATGATTTTGTTTCTATGTGTATTATCTTTAACATTCAATATGAGTTATTTATCATTTGTCCGATGGTTACATAGTGTGTATTGTTATTCGTTCGGTATTATATGTTTCTGATTCCTTTCTAATTTGTTACAAATATCATTATGAGGTTATGGAGATTATTAGGTTTTTGATTGAGATCATGAATCGATTGATGTGAGATCGCCATTGAAAACCTGGAAGCACTGGATGGCTGTTTCGTCCCACTATGGGACTCTTCAGTAGTGCGTGTTTGCAATCCCGCACCCGGGATTCGAACCCCTGATATTCGGTCTTGCGTGCGAACGCTTAACCTGTGAACAACTGGGCAGGCCGGTATCCAACGGTGTTAATATCTGACATCAACTAACCTACGAAATTGAGCAACTATCTTCCCTTGTACTGAGGTAGGTACCTGTTTTCACATAGATTAGCTCCACTTGTCACGACTTCTCACTAGAACTCCGAGAATAAATGAAAATAAATATTACTAGATTCACTTGATAGTGTTTACTTGAAAAACGTGACTGGGTTTGAAGCGAACAGTATTGAGTTCGGACCCAGAGTGAACATGAACTCTGATGCGGGTACATCCAGCTGATGAGTCCCAAATACGAGGAAACACGCGTGCCACTATTCATATTTTGTTTAAAATGTTGATGGACGTTTGAATGTAATCAGTAGATTTAGTCTGTTGAGTCCAATCTGGTAGCCATTCAGGTTTCTAATTACTACTGTCAATACGTCGAGAGTGAGCGAGTTATTATCTCCACGTACCAAACCGTAGCTTGATGACATTGAATTGTAATTTGATAAATTAACAATTGTGAGTTTCTTTTTAGTCAAACTGTTTGATATATTTTCATTGTGATTAATCAATAATGAAACATAGCTGACGCTTTTGACGTTCTGGATATGATCTCATTGTGGTATTACAAATAAAGTTGATAGAATCGATTAATCAAGTTGTAGAAAGTTCCTCATTACTGAGAAGTAATTACACTGTTATGTTACCTAACTGATTAGCTTTTTTAGAAAGATATTCTTATGGAACGGTGACGCTGACCCCATGCACAACCCTCCTCTTTGACACATGCTTGGGACCGGCAGTAGCCGTGGAGGAGTTACAGACCAGCTTTTGTTGAAATGAAAATTAGGCAAAGACGTTGGAAGTGGATAAGACATGCATAACCGATATCATCAAACTGTTATATACCTATGCTGTGTGCTACTGATGTCGATAGGTATAAGTAGTATGTAACACTAGTCAAATGTTGAATGACTGGTAGCAGAAGACTATGAAGATAGAATTTAAAAAAAGACAGAAAAGAACTGTGAATTGGAAGAATCGGATAGAATATTGTTGTAACGTGTGGGTGACTGCAGGGTTCGATACGCAGCGTTATTATCGATCGATTCGGTGACAGTGACACGTAATACACGTAAGGAACGACCTAGTGCTCTAATTGGCCCTGCTTCGCTGTCTGTCCTAGCCAGTTGAGTCAAGAACACAAGTCACAGCCTCCGAGTTATGAATCATTATATTTCAAACATACTTTGTTTATATACCAATCAAGCATACCACATCGTACCATAAAATAGGAAACAACATTTACAAAATATTTAACAAGTGAAATAAACATCGACCAATAGGAAATGTACATCTAAGGTCCAAGGCCACCGTAGACTTAACACGATAATTATTGGTATATTTTTCCGACTATCCTAACAAATATAAAGGACAACTGATGAAAGATTTGCAGGTGAAGCGGCGAAACTCTAATTTATGAACGAATCAATCAGATTCGAGATAGCAGATCTTGGATTTTAGCTCGAAATTCATATATCAAATAAAGTTTTGACATTTAAGCTGATATCAGTTTTTTATGAAAACCTTAAATCTAATTCCTAACCCTAACCATAAACTACAAATCATAATCATTATTCTTCACACTACTTTATAACCTTCATATAGTCCTAGTTACTAGGTGAACATCCTCTTTCAAAGGTCGTCCACAAATTTCAGTCTCATCGTAATTATGTTCCATGTATTTTGAAACTAGTACAAAGTACATATCAACTAACTATGATTGTATTACATCCAATTGTTTATTTGAACATTGATACAGATGGTTGATTATAAAGATCAGTCTATATTTGTTTATTTAAGATAATCTTTATTTATTCTATTAAATCTTCAATGTTGATCATCCAAATATTTTCATACCAACACAGATTTATTGTGTTATGATCAGATAGGAGGTGGGTTTTGGAGATTGTAGTTGAATTCATGGGTCAATATAAGCTAGATGATTACTGAAAACATAGGAGAAGTAGATGGCTATTTCGTTATAGAATGGGATACTTCACTGGTGCATATTATTAATCCTGCAATCGGGACTCGAACACAGGACCTTCGGTTTTGTACGCGAACACTTAACCTATAGACCACTAAGCCTGCATCCAACGATGTTATTGTTTAACTTCCATCGACCCATGAATGGCTGCACAGCCATTCATAAGGTAGACACCCAATTCTGATCGTAATAATTATGCGCTTACTGATGAATGGCTTCAAGATGATTTCCTGGAGTTCTAGTGAGAAGCCGTGACTAGTGGATTGCAATCCGTGTCCGGTAGAGATAGGTATCTACCTCAGAAAATGGAAGATGGTCGACGTTAAATGGTTGATTTTAGACATTAACACTTTGAGTTTCCGGCCCAATGATATAGAGCCTAAGCATTAGCGAGAGAGGCTAAAGGTCCTGGGTTCGAAGTGTGTGAGCGGGATCTAGATGCATAGTGCTGAAGAGTTTCACAATGGGACGAAACGGTCGTCCAATGATTCTAGGTTTTCCATGGTGGTCTAGCTTTAATTGACTCATGAATTCAACTATTAAATGAATAAAACCTCCACAACACTCTCTTATGACAACAATCAAATATCTTTGAATACAAAATTACAGAATCCCTCAGCAAAATCTGAAGACCATACAGCAAGTTCTTCATTTTCAAACTGTCAATCAATTGTCGCAGAATTGATTGTTTTTGTGTTTGCACACCAACAATTAATTTAGAAGTTATGAAACACTATGGATAACTGGCCAGTTTAACATTCTGACTTAGGAACTGAAAATAACATGGAAATGTAACATATTTCAAGCGACATGATCGAGTAGCTGAATTAACAGTGGATGAGTAAGACGATCTAGATAATGAACTGATCTCCTTCATACTTTAACAAATTTTTATAAACTACTTAACGATGTTAGTGTAAAGGAAATTTAAGCATCTTTAGTTCATACCTCCAAAGTAAGCCTACTATGTTAAATTCTAGTGCGCTGTAAGATTTTCGTTACCGATTCAGCTGTCTCACTGTATGATGAATTATTCAATTGTAGTTCGACTTCAAATTTTACTCATTAAATAACTCTGTTTCAACAGTAAAACTTTTCTATGCACTTTATGTCATCGTCCTTCCGTGACTTAAGGCAATTTAGAGGCAATCCGCACAGAATGTATACATTCCAATAAGTGGTTGATCATTTACAGTGCTAAACAATAACGGAAAAATACAAGTAAAACAACATCAAGTGTATTTAAACTTCACCCCATTGCACAAGCAAGTGACTATCAGGAATCTGTGGCTAAGTGTATAACGTGATGATGTTTCATTCGAACGGTGCTGGGTTTGATTTCCAGCGTGAACATCAACTCTGAGATGGAGGTACATCCAGCTGACGACTATGAAATAAGACGAAACACGCTGCAAAGTGGATTCCACTGCTAGCCACCACACATCTTTGCTTATAATGATTGTGAATTACGGCGTCATCGAGGCAATCAGCACAGAATGCATATGTTCCAACAAAAAAATTGATCATTTACAGTGCTAAACAACAATAGGAATATACAAGCAAACAACAACAACTGAATGTTGTTAAATAATTTTGATAAAATTCATCAAAATGTAACAGATACACTAAACATATGGGGAGTCTAAGTATGAAGTTTATTAAAGAATAAAACATGGAGCTTTAAAGAAGAAATACAAAATGAACTTTTATACGCGGATTTACAATAAGAGGGATACAAGAAACAAAATTATTGAATGTATAAGGTGATCACGAGTGTTTTGTTGCGATTTGCTCAGTCTACTACTTAATTTATTTTACAGTAATATAAATCTAAAATTGAAAACCGTTTATGTCATTAGCGTAAAATTGATGCAAGAACGGATAAGGACATTGAAAATAATCACATCTGAATTGGTCGGTGAAAGATTTCAAAAGATCGAACACAGTAGTGATAACATTACAATCGTCTCAAAAAACTTTGGAAATTCAGTTGAAATGAGAAAGCACACATATTAAGATATTAGATATTGCCTAACACTATAACATCGTATTCATATTTATGTTTCTCAAAATGGTTCATTTGTGTTTAAAGAAGACATGAAACCTAACGAATTCAGTATCAATTGAAATCATGAACTGATGAATCTTAGACCACCATTGAAAACCTGGAAGCAGTGAACAGACGATTGGTTAGTAGAGTGTAGAAAGATTTCTCAGAGTGACTGTGAATAGGGCAAATTATACTATTGCCGTATCTGAATATCTTGACCCTGAATATCTAGTCAGTAAGAATAAGGAATGACATGCTTTCTTTGGAGGGTTGGGCGATGTTAAGTCTATCCTTATTCACTCCCCTTCGACGTTTTTGTGTATTGTTTTATACTACTTACTAATATTCAGTAAATAAGTGTATTACTAGTAATTTTTATATTTATATTGTAACGTAAGTTTGTTGTATAATTTTCTGAATTATATACTCATCATATTTATTATATTCATCATTATAATTACTTTATCTCAATCAGTGTTACAGTTCTTCGTAATTGTGTGCATTTGTCTAACTTTTATTTGAACGCAATGGTTCCCGTGTATGTTTGCTATTGGTTAAGCTTTTGCTTATCGGTAAACTGTTACTAAGTTTAGACACAACTAACAGCTGTCTTTTGCACTATCGGAGTCTTTTTATTTCAGGCAGAAAGACGCGGCGAACGCCATAGACACCTCACAAGTTGAGTCGTCTAACTAATTTATGTAAATCACTAAATAAAGGACGGCCCTTCT